AAGGAAACCTTAAATCAGCCTGCATGAATAGTTTCTCTGTGGCTGCACCACAGAGATGAACAGAGATGGGGCCTCATTTGGGAAAGCTCAGAACACTTAATTCTTTCTTATTAATAAGCCTCGCCGCTACACCCAGATGCCACAACATAAATGGAAGCCTATATCGCTATCCATAAAAATGCACCGAAGCAGGAAAGACATTTCTAACTGAGGTATATTTTACCCAGGAACCCCAAGTTCCCTAAAAACACAGAACAGGAAGGTTCAAATAATTTGGTCAGGTTTGCTTTGGATGATCATCAAGTAGGGGCTCTCATCTGGTGCAAGCTTCAAGTCCCAACTCCTCCGCACTCTTGTCTCTCCTCTCCTTGTTCCTTGCTTCTTGTTTCTTCTCCTTTCTTCCTTATCTCTCTCTGCTCTTAGTCTTATATTGTGTATTTCTATACTGTTCCATGACGATCATTAACCCACAACCTACCTAGGTATAGCAAGGTCAACTTTACAATTGTTTTTGCACAAGGGACCCCCCAGAACCTGGCAGATTTCCTAGGACTTTGAAGCTAAAAGTGTTTATTCTCCCAATTGTTAGAAACTTTAAAATCCAAGAGACACTTCTCAGTCACCTAAAGCTTTAACAATCCATTTAATTTTAATGTCGTTATGTCAAGGGTTCTGGCTTGGCTCATTGTAAAGTGATGCAGATACAGGGAAGTTAAGACGTTTATTTTTCACTCCCCTTGACACAAGGACATCATGGAGTTCTCCTTCCACTCAGGTCTGGTAGGGTACTAAGTACCTGATCACAGAGTATGTTTTTGTATGAAATAGTGTGAAGTGCTGATTTAACTAGACTCTCCACACTCCATTCCAGCTGTGTTGAGAAGAATAAGGTCTCCGTTGATTGCAGCACTTGACTAAAGCACTTGGCTCTGTGCATTTAGGCATAGCAGGATTATTAACTAAAATGACATTTAAGACTCTCAGGATTTTTTTTCAATTTTTGGTATACTTACTTTTTGTCCTATCTCGACTTTATGTTATCAATTTAATTTTTATATACATTCTTGATTACAACTGGAAATAACATCTGTGCATTCTATTTAATGTAGTAGAAGTTATGTTTGATGTAGAATATGTTTTTATATTTTAAAGCTTGTAATGCCACTCTGTGTGTTTGTGTGCAGCTGAGCTCATCCTCAGGCTGTGTTCTGTGTCACTGCTTTCACCCTCAGCACCTGCAGGAGGTGCCAGCTGCAGCAGTGCAGTCGCTGTGCAGTCCTTCTGAAGGAGGTTTTTGTAATGGCGTATAACACTGTGTGCGTGGCCAGTAACTGTTGATGTTGTGTAAACTCTGACAGAAATATTCTGCTCCATCTTCAGCCTGGACTGCTGTGATGGTCAGAGTGAAGTCAGTTCCGGATCCACTGCCACTGAAACGCTTTGGGATCCCAGACTGACGGTCAGTTGCATAAAGTATCAGTGGTTTAGGAGCTTCTCCAGCTTTCTGTTGGTACCAGGCTAATTGATTGTCATTGTGCACTGCAGGACTGGCCTTACAGCTCACAGTGACTGTCTGTCCTGGGAGAACAGATACCACTGCTGGAGTCTGAGTCACAGTAACCTGTCCACTAGACTCTGAAAATCAATAACAATATGATATACATATGAAAACAGAAGATATAGAATTAGTTTTGTTTAAGTTATTTTGTTTTCTTAAATTAACTTACATCTTTATTTTTTCACATATAGGAAAAATTCTATGAATCTATAAAACATCCAGACCCATTCCTACCCTGAGCAGAGATGAGGAGTGTCCAGAGGAAGATGGTGATGAAAATCATTGTTGCTGTGGGTTCTGTTGCCATGTAGGGCAGCTCTGAGTCATGAAGTGTTAAACTCACAGGGCTATAAACTCATAAACACTCCTAGAGTACTGAACCATGCAAATGCAAATGTACCAATGCAAAATGACTCTAAAAATAACCCAGCAGTATGCAGTGATATCATTCACTTACTGTACATGCAAGTCTGTCAGTCTGTTGCACCAGGAGGTGGTGTTACTGTATATTATCTATCAATACTGTACAGATGCAGCCATTCAAAATGCACGGGGTACGCTGTGGTAAAACATGGTAGGCGTGGCTCATCACATGATAATAGTATCAGAAATCACCTTGTAAAACCACCAGGTGGAACTAATAAAGCTTAACGTCTCATGTACAGCATTTGAGCTGTCGCCAGAAAATGCCCGGTTTCGAATCCCGGTCACTGCTGAGGGACAATCTTTTTTCAATTAAGAATTTAAATTGTATACTCTGTAGACTTTTAATAATTTTTAAACTGTGTATTTCAGCATGTTAATCATTAAACATTAAAAAGTTGGTATATTTTATAAAAGCAAGATTGCTCAGTTGGACAAAAGTACACAACCTTCCACCTTCACCATAAATACTTTAATTATGCAGAAATAATTTATGCATCAAAGTCTTTACGGAAGATATTACTAATAGTATTAATAATTAATCAAACCCAGGCCTTCGGCATCACTCAACAGTTCGATCACCCAGCGGTGTAGTGTGCATACCCATGTGAGCCCAAAAGTGCTACATTATTAATAATACAATATCTTTAATGTTGCATTAACATTGGGATGTTCTTTTTTGTCTCCTCTCTAACTCTTCAGTTTACAGAGAAATTCTGCCAGAGCCTCACCACATTGTCCAATAATACTCTTCTTGTGTCTAATTTTTAGTTTAGCAGTATTTGAGCTACAGTTTATGAATATAATTATATTGTTATTAATTTTAGATATGCGATTCCATATTATATACCCTATTAATCAAATTCTAAAAAGTATGCGCTTTTTTACTGTGATAACGAGCGTAAGTATTCACAGAAATGGTTAAAACATTATAACTTTTCACAAAGTATATAAACTTTATACAGATGCAGCCATTCAAAATGGGTGAGGTATTTCGCGGCATACCCCGGTGGGCGTGTCGCGGTATCACGCGGTATCACGCAGTGTCACGTGGTTAATCGCG